TATTCATAATTTAGTGCATTTCCTAGTTTGAACTTCTTGAAACTAGACATTCAGACTGAATTTCCTATGTGTATCCTTTCCAGGATTATTTTAAGGCAGCCATTAATGATATGGCTGCAAGAAGTTTGCGTTGTGTTGCGATTGCATATAGACCATATGAATTAGAGAAGGTTCCAGTAGATGAACAGGGTTTGGATCAATGGGATTTGCCTGCTGATGATCTTATTCTGCTTGCAATTGTTGGTATAAAGGTATCAAGTGCAGAACTCCTTTACACAATAAATTGCTATTATTGCAGTTTCTTTTGCTATGAATAGTACTCAAATAGAAATATTTAAAATTATAGAGGGTTGCCCTGAACTTTTGAGAGATTGGTTTTCTATGTAGACTTTTTACTTCTAAGACTCTTATTTTATGCATTATGCACAACTTCCACTGTTCACCATGGTGAACGTGGGGAACCTTAAAAGTTGAAGTGAGCAACGTGGTTGCGAGATGTCAAGGCTCTTTTTTACTCTTTTTCCTGTTTTGGTTTTATATATCGAAGTGTCATGTTATGATTTTTTAACGTCATCATTTTGCAGGATCCTTGTCGTGCTGGTGTTAAAGAGGCTGTGAAAGTGTGCACAGATGCTGGTGTCAAGGTAGTTTATTATGTGTTATTTTTGTCTCATAGATCTCGACTCCTTTTACGTGCAACACTCATACACCTTCTTGGGTGAGCTACATTCTTTACACTATAAAATCCTAAATTTCAGATGATGAAGGAAATGGTTAAAACTTCTTCATGTGGCCTTAGGTTTATGTTAACTTGGAGCTGTTTTTTGACGCTCAAGTCATTGACAACCCTTCTAGTTACTTTTAGTTCTTTGGTACATGATTTGGAAAAAACAATATTTTGTTTTCTAGTTCCTAAAATTTTATTTTGTTTTGAGATCTAGAGCTGGACTTATCCTTAATTATGCAGCAGTTGTATACTTGCACGTGATATATGTGTGCTGTATGTAATACAATTGCAAATTTGTAGGTGCGAATGGTAACTGGAGACAATATACAGACCGCCAAAGCTATAGCAATAGAGTGTGGAATACTAAGCGCAACAGACGATGCTTCTGAGCCGACAGTAATTGAAGGAAAAGAATTCCGTGTATTGTCTGAGAAGGAAAGAGAACAAGTTGCCCCGAAAATAACGGTACACTTAGAATTGCATACATCATAGATGAAAATACAATATGCATTAACTATTTTTGTTCTAACCCACAGTCTTGTTTATATGAATAACATAGAATAATGATGCATTGAGAGTTCAATTTTAAGCAAGGGGACATCTTGTCCTTTTGGCCTCCAGACTGTTTTGTTTTCCCTTAATGGAGTTTGTGATTGTTTTGTAAAAATGATTATAAAAAAGGGTCAACTCTATGCAATGACATACAGGTGATGGGGAGGTCTTCACCCAATGACAAGCTCTTGCTTGTTCAAGCATTAAGAAAGGGAGGAGACGTCGTTGCTGTAACAGGCGATGGGACAAATGATGCCCCTGCACTCCACGAGGTTTGTGAACTGTGTGGTTTTTATTATTTCACATGAACGATTCTCTGTTTGCATTGTGTAGAAGACAAAATTAAATTGTAATTTTTTTCAATCGGCTTTTGTTGCATTGCTTGCTATAACACTAATATATAAATATAGAGCATGCATGTGCAAGCATACTGTATGAACTAGAAAACTGCTGTAATATGTTAATGTTCATTATTGTTTTCTGGAAGCACTATACGACGATTATAAATAACGTTAATATACTGCTCAAAATTTTTATCTGCAAGTTGGTTTATGTGTCCATAATGGAAAAGAGTCTAGACACATCTGAATTCTTGTTTGGTTGAGTACTTGTGAGTTTCTTTTCTTCATATTTCGTACGGTTTTTAGTCTTTGTTTTGATTGATATTAATGAGAAGTTCCGTAGCTGTTTAAGCAAGTTTTGTTCACGTTGATAGTATGTGTTTACCCTTTTGAACTCTAGGCAGATATCGGTCTTTCTATGGGCATACAAGGGACTGAAGTTGCGAAAGAAAGTTCTGATATTGTTATCTTGGATGATAACTTTGCTTCAGTCGTAAAGGTTTGTGTGGATCATCTTGACCAGCTTTTAATTCTGCGGTGTCTTTTCGGTTCATGCGTAACTTAGAAGCTAATAACCTCCAAAACGTGAATATGTAATAAAGAATACTAAATAGATGCATTTATTTAGCAAAATTGACTTGCTAGTTCATAATTTCACTGCTTATGCCAATTTATGTAGGTTGTCAGGTGGGGGCGTTCTGTGTATGCAAACATTCAGAAGTTCATCCAGTTTCAGCTCACTGTAAATGTTGCCGCTCTTGTGATTAATGTTGTTGCAGCTGTGTCTTCCGGTGATGTTCCTTTAAATACTGTGCAGGTTTCTTCTCTCCCCTCTGACCAATATTTTTCTTCCTTTTGAAATGGTTGTTCCATGTCACATTGCTATAACGAGTGTGAGAATTCGATCACTATGCTACTAAAGATTAAGCTGAATGTTAAGAATGTGAATAAGATCAAATATTTGTGAGATCCCACGTCGGTTAGAGAAGGGAACGAAGTACTCCTTACAAGGGTGTGGAAACTTCTCCCTAGCATACGCGTTTTAAAACTATGAGGCTGATGGCAATACAAAATGGGCCAAAGCGGACAATATCTGCTAGTGTTGGGCTTGTGCTGTTACAAATGGTATAAGAGTCAAACATCAGGTGGTTTGAGCCCCGAAGGGGGTGGACACTGGGTGGTGTGCCAGCGAGGACGCTGGGTCCCGAATTGGGGTGGATTGTGAGATCTTACATTGGTGGGAGAGAGAAACGAAACATTCTTTACAAGGGTGTGGAATCCTCTCCTAGCAGACTCGTTTTGAAAACCTTAAGGGAAAGTCCGAAAGAAAAAACCCAAAGAGAAGATAATATCTGTCGGTGGTGAGTTTAGGCTGTTACATATTCTATAACACTTATAAATTTAAGCAGATTGCTTTTTTTTTTTTTTTTTTTTTCCTTTCCTTTGAGATTATTATCTCATATTGATTAATGAAGGTACGTCTGTCTTCCTTGTTAGCTTCTCTGGGTTAACCTGATCATGGACACACTCGGTGCTCTAGCATTAGCTACTGAACCACCAACGGACCACTTGATGCATCGGTCACCTGTTGGGCGAAGGTAAAAACTAATGCTGTTTTCAAATGACTTGTTACGAACATGATTCTGAATTTTCTACAAGAAGCACGGATATGGAAACAACATGACATGGACACGGTGACATATCATTTTTTCAAAAAGTATGACATGTTTATTAAAATATGTGTAATTTGTTTGGATTACAGGGAACCCCTTATAACCAATATCATGTGGAGGAATTTGATTGTACAGGTACGTGAAGACGACGGTGTTCGTTATCTTTGAAACTGAAACTCTTAAGGCTTGCTTTCATTTTTCCTGATGTTCTTTTCCCCTTTGTTGGCGGTGCAGGCTTTGTATCAAGTTGCTGTCCTTCTTGTTCTCAACTTCTATGCCACTGATATTCTTCAATTGAATACTGATAGCAAGGAGCACGCCTTTAATGTGAAGAATACAGTGATTTTCAATGCCTTTGTCCTCTGCCAAGTAATTCTAATAACTAAGAAATTTATCCAAAATCTCTGTGCATCTTCCTTGTTTTTCATTAGTTTTTTATGCCTTTTAGTTTGGTTTAAGTTATCAAATCTGGCAATGCAGATATTCAATGAATTTAATGCTCGAAAACCAGATGAAATGAACGTATTCAGTGGCGTGACGAAAAATTACCTCTTTATGGGAATAGTTGGAACGACGTTCTTGCTTCAGGTTACCTTTAAAGCCATTTTCTTTGTATTCGTTGCGATGCCTTTTCTATAATGCTTCCATGTTTAAATTGCAATGCAGATCATCATCGTCGAATTTCTAGGAAAATTTACTTCCACAGTAAAACTTGATGCGAAGCAATGGCTTATCTGCATTGCTATCGGCCTTGTGAGGTTAGCCTCACTTTTCAGATCATTCAAAATGCACTATATCTTGTAAAAAAGTTAAATTACTAACAACAGTAAAAATAAAATGACGTGTGTTTTCTCAAGTGGTAAATAAATTATCATCTCATCTGTTTCAGCTGGCCTCTGGCTGTCGTTGGCAAACTGATTCCAGTTCCTGAGACTCCATTGGGTAAATACTTCACAAAGCTAGTTCAACGGTACAGGAGGTCACATGGTGCTTAATTTTGGGATTTCGTCTTTCTCGAAAGTGCATAATTTTGAAGGACAATCCATAATTTGGTATTTCTTGGCTAAAATATATGCTTTTGGTTATATTTCTTTTTATTTCTAATAGTTTAGACATCATGCTTGCGTAACGATCAAGTTCCGAAGTTTTTAGAAAAATGTTTGCACCGAATGAGCGCAAGTCAATCGAGCAAATAGTTTTCTTAAAATTCAAAACTAAAAGTGGTTTTAGACGTATTCGGGACTTGATTGTTACATTTCTAAAAGTATGGACTAAATTGTTACAAAAAAAGAAGTATACGAAACCCAAAACATACAGGTACCAAAAGTACAGAATATACGTTTTAGCTCGAAGGACCAAGACGAAGGAATAACGTGAAGGAGGATGTGTTTGAACATTTTCAAGAACAATTTTACAATGTATTTGCCTTTCATGTATCCATCAAAGTAATGTGGTTAATTGTAATTTTGGGTTCTTGTTTATTTTCAGTAATGTAAGCTTGAAGAGAAGAGCAATAGTATTTAATTATGGGCTTAAACATCAGTTTTGCCCCTTTATATTGATTTCTATTCTTGTCATGGATCATAAAATTAATCTTCAACTTTTGAGAACTTATTTACAAATTTAGATAGAACAAAGACAGAATAAACCAAACAATGAGAGGAATATGCTAGAGTTCGTCGTAAACGTTTTTCGAACTTTGGGCACGAAATGCATAAGTTTCTCAATCTCATTACTTTAAATAGAAGCCTTTATCAAACAATAATTGACATCTAAATCGTTCAAAAATACTTCTAACAAATATCTTCTGTTTAGTAGGAGGCATTAAAAGCAAAGTGAAAACATATGCAATACAATTAGGCAGCCACGAAGCTGGACGTGCACGCAAGTGAGAGATTGTATCTTTATTTACCTTTGTGAAGAGCCTTAGCAAAAGCATGAATAAGCTAAGTGGTTCTTCTTTTTGATGTAAGAGGAAATGAATTTGGTAGCAGGAGCAGTAGATTCTCGAATGGTGGCTGGAACAAGTATTTGATTCTTCCCCAAAGCAATCCTCTTGCCTGCAACATTCGAATAGAAGAGGCCAGAGATCGCTGGAACGAATATGTCGCTTTGACTACATACGTAGAAGTCGATCACTTTCTCGTATTCGGAACTCTCTGCGTTCAAGAACTTGGCCTTCTTATCTGCAGGCATTATGCTTTCCTGTAAAAATGAAACAGAAAAAAGAGGGAATTCATAGTTCAGTCCCAGAGTTGCATATTCTAATCAAGACAATATGTAAGAAAACGCGCAACAACTCGTACGAAGTAATCTTATTCTTTCTAGCTCAATTTATGGATATGTCGATAAACGATAAACTCGCCCATGACTCACCTTTGTGTAAGTTTTTGGGAATAAATCCTTGAGATCTTCAAGACTGTTATCCCATCTCGGTTGAGTTAAGTATATGGTAGCATCCTTATCGAAACCAATTTTCCTCAAAAACAAAGCTATATCTTGTGCAGTATAGCAGCCTTTGCTTCCAGATGCCTCTTGACAACCATTTTCCCCCAACATTTCAATCCTCAAGTCCACCGCTATGAACTGACCATTGGACTTCCGACTCAGAGTTTTTAGCCTCTCAATCATGGATTCAATCACCTCACTTATTTCTGGCTGCAACTTCAATGTTCCAAACATTGCCAAACATGGAACTGAATCACCATTACTTGATGTGGTCGACTTTTTCATATTGACTGAAGGGAAGAAAGTTGCGAGTCTTATGCTGCCACTTTTCTTATAAATCTTCTCAACATGTTCCGAAATGTAGTTTTCTGAAACTCGATTCGGCACTTTGACAGCCGAGATCTTTCTTGGAGATATTTCAGATGGCAGCTCTTTTACTACCTTGACAACTCCATCCAGGCTTCCAATGAACTTCTCAACATCATAAATATCCCCAAAGTTCCTTTAAGATTATGGCTATGTCAGGTTTTTTGATAGACAGAGTACAAGAAGCAAATATCTACAAATATGGAGTGAAGCAATAAGAAATGCCAAGATAATTTAAAAAAAAAAAAAAAGAAAAGAGGAAGATCCATTAGACACAGGATCTTGCTCCTGCTAAACCCAAGACATAACCACATGGGAATTATTCTTGGCTATTATTTGACTCATTAGAACTTACCACTTATCCCCTAGTTTTTTCCCTCTGATATCTGGGACAACAAGAGTCGCACCAAGATATCTAGCCACAACTACAGCATCCGCAATCTGAAATAGGCAATAAACATCAATAGGACACACAGTAAAATGATGGAAAACAATTCTAGAGGACAACAAAAATGAAGATCTAAGAAGAACCAAAATAATACTGCGACAAATGGGCAATTTTAGAGTAAAAAGCCTGACGATTCTGATAAACAAGCTAGACAAAAACCAGTTGAATCAAACAGTTCAATGGAGTACCTGGGAGACATGGTATTCAGGACCTTCGGTTAATGAAAAAGTGACATAGCCCTTTGATTGCTGTCCCTCATCTGCTTCCAAGCCAAAAAGAGTAATGAGTGAATAGGAAAGCTAAGAGACACAAAAGCACGAGAAATTGTAAACTATACAACTTTCGCTCAATTTTCAAATTGAAAATTACTGACCCAATTCGGGTTTACTCCAACATTGTTTTAGCTCTTGAACATCATTTTTCGACGCAGCGTCACCTTTTTTATGAAGGCTGCGGATTGTTGTTACTTTGGTAACCTCCTTCGTTGGCCCTGGAAATTTTTCCTTCAAAGGAAAAAGGAGAAAGAACACCATCAACTAGGATCTCGATTATTTCTCAAACTTGATTTGCGAGGAGCCAAAATCATGCAATCCAGTAGACAAAGGGGAAAAGTGTGCTTGATTTTGGAGGCAGATTTGAGAAACTTAACGACCATAATTTGTGAATTCCGTAATTTATACTCTCTCTCGGAGAAGCAGAGACGAAATACAACTCTAAATCCCACAAAATTGAGCAAGAATGATGATTAAGAATTAGAGCAAAACAAAAGAAGAAATCACTAGAAACAAACCAGAAAATAAGAATTAAAGCACAAACAGAGAAAAGAAGGATTCTACAGCACAAGATCTCAAGGTCACGAAGCAAAAAAAGAGAAAACAGATGAAATAGCACACAGATCGAAAAGAAAACGAAGGTTAGAGGACATACTTGGACGGAATCAAAGTGGTCTCGCTTGATCATATGACCAAGCATCAGAAACATAGTGAGAGTGAGTATGCCGGCCAACACTTGTCTCAGATCCACCCCCATTGCAGTAGTTCAGAGATCTTGCTACAACTCTCTTTCTCTCACAGTCTACGAACAAGAAGAAGAAAGAAACCTGAAGATTAAGCAATGGAATGAATAGAGCATTGAACTGAGAGGTGTGCGATTGCTTGGAGAAATCCAAAATGGAAATTCCACAAATTCCGCGCTGAATCACAGTGAGCTTCTACTGTTGATGAATCTGTGTATTTTCTTTCTTCTTCTGGAAAATATTATTTATCTTTATAAATACACAGCACCGACACTTCCCCTCTCAATTTGACCACTACTTCCCCCAACCCCTTCCCCTCCTTTTTCTTCTAATTTCTTCTTTGCTTAATCCAAACTTCTAATATTACCGTGCTCTAATCCCGATCTTAAAAGTTTATAATAATTTCGACCATAAACTTAAAACTTTGAATAATCTCGAGTCTAAAAGTTAATCCCGATCCTAAGATCAAAAGTTTATAATCTAGAAGCTAAGATTAAAAGTTTGTATGTGAATGTTTCATTAATCCACCACACCTAAATGGTGTGAAAGTTATCTTATTTATAATCAAATAAATTACAAGTATATGGAAATAGTAATAAATGGAAATAACAATAAATGGAAAGATACCTATGATAATAAGGCAAATATTAGATATTTGCCTTATAATAAAATATCAAATATAATATATATGGTAAACTATAATTTATTACTAAATATCCTTAACATTGTATAATTCGGTTCTTAAGGTTAAAACTTTATAATCTCAATCTCAAGGTTAAACATCTGAATAATCCCGATTTAAGGTTAAAAACACTTTTTTATTGACCAAATCTTACAACTAAGATCGAACCCCAAAGATTAAAAAAAAATTACCTGGGTAAAAATTTATGGACGTTTTACTCATACTAATTATATATATATATATTTTTGAGAAAGTAAAAAAAAAAATTACTTTTTATATACATAAGTGTGTGAAAGCAAGGATTCAAATTTTGGAAGTACAAGTGAGGTTATTAATGTCGTAATAATATCATACTAAAAAAACACAATTAATTAATAATTATTTTTTTTAAAAGTAACGCTTATGATTAGTGAGGCCAAAACAGCTGCCAGGTGGTAGCCAATGATTGGTTAGTTGTAGGTCACCTGTAATAATCATAATAATAATAATAATAAAAAAGGAAATAAATGTTTATGGTCCTGAAACCAAGGGTTAGAGTTCGAATCCTCACTAAAGTTAAGATTTCTGACACAGATTTTGTCTTTATCTTAGCGTACAAGTCAGCCGCCTACCTCCTCTTCTTTTTCTTTTTTTTTTTTCTTTTTTTTTTAATTACAATAATATTCTACTTTTTTATACTCCATCCCCATTCCTTTGTTTTTATTTTTGTTAGGTCATATTTACTTTATTTTAAATCATAATTGTTCAAAATTATATTTCGCAATCCTTTGATATTTATAATTTTTTTAAAAAACGTTAAATATATTTGAGATATGAGTATTCAGAGTTTTTCTCTATTTATTATATATGTTTTTTAAAATGAAAATATTTAATTTTACTCTAATTTCTAACTCTCACTTTCATATATATATATATATATATATATATATTTATTTATTTATTTATATTTAAATGAAAATATGTAATTTTACCATAATTTCTAACCTTGAAATTTTAATGTACTTTCATATATATATATATATATATATATATATTTATTTATTTATTTATTTTTAAATGAAAATATGTAATTTTACCATAATTTCTAACCTTTGAAATTTTAATGTACTTTCATATATATATATATATATATATATATATATATATATATATATATATATATATATATATATATATTTAATTTTAAATGAAAATATGTAATTTTGAATTTAGGTGAAATTGGAGCCATCTGTCCGGCGGTTTATAGGGCTGAGATTGCGTGCACTTCCGAATTAGCGGATTAATGTGCGTTTTAATTATTCTGAAAATAATCACTTTTCCAAAAAAAAGAAAGAAAAAAATGACAAAATGCCGTGATTGAGAGATGTTAATTTCACCCGTCACCGTGAATTTTAAAATTGGTCGGGTTGCCCGTCGTTTTCCTCCGACCGGCTCATTTAATTGACTCAATTTTCATCCTCCACAAATGCCCTAATTTCAGCTTACCCATTCACAACTTCGGAAATCGCCGCCGTGTCGGCCGCCGGCAAATGCAGTGATCCGATTCTTCCTCAACCACCCTAATTTTCTATACTTTCTATAATAATCACATTTTTTTAATCACAATATTAATGTTGGCCTTAAATCTAATCATCTAATAATATTGTTTATTCTATTTCTTGTGTTGATTTAATCCGCTTTAAATATTTATATAGTTTTTAAAAGTTTTAATTAAGTTCCTTCCCTTAGTTTCATTTCAATTTAGTACGAAAACAAGTGGGTGTTCGGATTAAAAATGATATAGGTTGGGTTTGGGTTTGGGTTGGTCAAGTTGGCTTCCCGATGAACTAACTATGGTTCACAATCTAACTTCCTATTTTCATCTTGGGTTGAGTTAGGTCGTTGAGTTATTTAATTTTGTTATTATTTCAAAATTCTATTGATCAATAATATATGTCTCGTTAATAACTAAAATCTCATAACATTTAAATATCAAACATCCACGAGCTATAACACATTAGCAACATATGTTACAAACATCAAATTGTTTTAATCTTCTTAAAAATCCATTAAATAGGAGCGTAGGCTCGTAGGATTGACTGTAAGAAGTATACCATGACTCTAAGGCGTATACAATGAGTCTATAAGTGAGAGATGTTATCTTCATTGATATGAGACATTTTCGAGAAACCAAAAGTAAAATCATGAGAGCTTATGTTCAAAATGGACAATATCATACCATATCGAAGGTCCGCGATTTGTAACTTGATATCAAAGTCTTGCCCTTAACTTAACTACGCCAATAGAATTCTCAATTGTCGAACAAAGAAGTTGTGAGTCTCGAAGGTGTAATCAAAGACAACTAAAGTGTCGAACAAATTGTTTATTTTGTTTGAGAGCTCCAGAGAAAGAGTCGAGTGTCGATTAAGGGAAAGCCTGTTCAAAAGCTCCAGAAAATGAAGTCTCTAGAGAGGCTCTTTAATATACTTTGTTTGAGGGGAGGATTATTAAAGATTCTTAAAAATTCAAGTTACGGCAAGAGATCTCGTAAGATAAGTCATAAACGGCTGTGATGTGTTCTTGGAACTTCCAATCCAAGTCGAGTTACTAAGATAGAGTAGTTCACCCGCCGAGGGTGACATTCCAAGCTAGGTAAGCTTTGTCACTAATTACTGCAATGATGAGCTTGCACCAAACCTCGATACATAGTCAAAGTCCTACTAAGATATCTCTAAATCCTACTATTTTGTTAGAGACCATAGACCTTTCACAATGGTATGATATATTCATTACTTATAAATTCACCATCTTCCTCTTAATTAGTCAACGTGGGACTCCTCTCCCAACAATTCTCCATTCGAACAAAGTACACCATATAGCCTCTCCTAAGGCTCATGAATGGAGCCCTATAACAACCTCCCCTTAATCGAGACTCAACTCCTTCCTTAGAGCCCTCAAACAAAGAACATCTTTTGTTCGATGCTTAAAAATTTTATTTACATAACTAAGTTAAAAGCATAACTCGAATACCATGTTAGGAATCACAAACCTACACAATGGTATGATATTGTCTACTTTGAGCATAGGGTTCCATGACTTTACTTTTGGTTTCCCAAAAAGCCTTGTACCAACAAAGATGATACTTCTTACTTATAAACCAATGATCTTCCCCTTAATTAACCAATGTGTGACTCCTTTCCCAACAATCTTCAACATACTTCATGATCAACAACTACGGCTAAAAGGTATAAAACGCGATGAACGGTTAAATGCACACAACCAATACAAGATCCGGGCGTTGCTAAATATTGAGAGAGAGAATTCGTTTGTTTTTAGTGCAGGAAATTGTGCCGGTTTACACGAAAATTTTCGAAGCTTTAATCGAACAAGATCCGGACGTTGCTAAATATTTAAAATAATAAATTTGTTTAATTGCACTATATTTAAAAGTTATTTTAATTAATATATATATATATATATATATATATATTCTTATTACATATTTCTAATTTTAAATTAATCCAAAAAAATATTTTTATCACATAAAATTACTCTTTAAATTAATTTATTAATTTGTTCTAAAGATGTTAAGTTAATAATTTCTTTTATTAAAAAAATATTTTTTGTCCACTAGCTATTTCAATACATTAGCGAATTAAAAGACGGTTTAGGTTTCGTGAATGTAAATCGACATGTCGATCGTTAATCGATAATAGAGAGTCAAGCGAGCAGTGAAGTAGGAAGGGACACGAACTATGGAGATGACATGTCGGCGCTTCCCGATCGTTTTCTAAGACTATCATCTGATCATCAGAAAACCGGTAGAATTAATCAAGATGAAGGCAATGGCAGCCTCCAGCCGTCCGGTACAAATTTCTCATGGAACCTGCTTCTTCCCATTTTCCCGCCAAATCAACACCTTCTGCCGACCACGGCGGCGTCTCTGCTACACGAACTCCAAAGGTCAGTTCATCTTCTTCTCTTTCGGCGCATAGACATGATCGCTCAATTTCATCACTTCCTTGGCCCTCGTATTTTTCCGTCAATCAAACAGGAGAATCCATCAGAATGAACTCGAGTTTTTCTTCCAATTAACATTTCTTTCTTTCGATTATGTTTATGAAATTATCGTGTTCTATTTCTTAATTTCTGCCTCTTCTCGTTTCGCAGGGCTGAAATGGTTCGGATATGGAGTTTGTGTATCGCCACCTAGTTTTGAGGTCGCTGCCGTAGCTGGAGGGAGGGAGAGAGCGCAAGTATCTGCTGCGTGGGATGAGGGGCCTTATGAATTGCTTCCGAATGGGAAAATACAGTACCTGGATGAACAAGATGTAGTAACCTTTCTAGATCCGCCTAAGGAGCTCATACCTTTAGATCCTACTACTTATAATCCAGCCGCATATCTTTGGTAGTAATTTATTCCTGAGCTGTAGATTTCTTAATCGACTTCAGCTGATTCTATTTCGTATGTTTGTTTCATATCATCATAAATTGATTACCATAACTGTAACTATAATTTTGTAATGGCCAGTGGTTCAACATACTTTAGTTTTGTAATTTATCTTAGTTTCTAACATTACCAACTCGTTGGCAAAATGTTTATGAGTGTTTCTCCTCCATTGTTGCTGATTTTCATGGAGTTTACTCGTAATTCAGTTTGAAACTCTGTGTTTCGATTGGCAGGAAAAAGATTGAAGTTATTCCTGAGGAAAGACGTCACAATCTTCTGCACCTTCTAAGCCCTAGGTTACATATATGAAGCATTATATTTCCTGCATAATTGTTTCTTCTTCTTCATTAATGCGATTTCCCTTCATTTGTAAACTTTTACTATTTGATAGGAACTCTCTTAGCCACAAAAGAATTCTACTTGTAAAGTTCTGTTTGTAATTTGGAAATTCTGACACCAGCAATACAATATAGGTGTATATCAAGGGCTTGGGGAATAGCTGGCACGAGATATGATGATCCGAAGTTAGTAAAGAAAATGGCGTCTAGTTTGCTGCAAAACAAAGATGGATCGACGCTTGAATATTATAACTGCATAAAAAGTGGAGGTAAGTAGTTCACTATATGCTTGAGATTCGTAGGTTAATATGCAAAAAGCATTCAAATTTTGCTTCTTAATTTTTAAGTCCCTTTATTGTATAAGGAAAATGATTTGATCGAGGAGAATAAAAGGCGAAATTTGTAAACGGGTGGTGCTTTTTTGGATTTGATTTGAAGTTCAAGGATTGAAGGTTTTTTTAATCTTTTTCCTCAAGATTATGTATATATTATGCTAGCCTAACTACTTTGATTCTGAACATCTTGAATAGGACAAATACCCATTGCTTGGATTAATCATTTCAAGAAGGTAAAATTATCTAGTCCTAGTCCCACCTTTCTTCTTTCACAGAATCTATCTATTTACATCTCCCTGTTTATTAGGCATTATTTTCTTGCAAGGACGGAAAGACATATGGGCGGTTTATTGGTAAGATCTCTTAACCTTTGGCAACTATATACTCTTCTTCTCTCGTGACATTAGTAACCCAGTATGAGTACAGATTTCATGACATTAAAACACTACAGAAGCTAGCTGATCCACTATCCTATTGACCTTTTATAAGTTCATTTATCCTCACTTTCTCTATTTTTGGATATGGATTAGACATATCTTGGTGTATCACTATATTTATATGACGCGCATCTGTGTCCTTGAGTTCTAAGGTTACAAAAGATGATCAAGATCCCATTGTCACAGCCTCAATCCTATCTGTTTGCTGGAGTTTTTGAAAAATGAAATTGAATTATTTGATGATCAAGCTTTAACATGGACAGTTCCTATTGAACATGTTTTGATAACTTGCATAGCATGTGAATTTCACTTTGCCTCTAAAATTTTCTTCTGTTACAATTCTGCTAACTTATATCATTTCGCAAATCAGGCATGGGATTGGCTGGATTTGCAAATTCCTTTAATCCATTGTACTTTGAGGTGAAACAACTTAAAGAAGTAATGTCAACTGAACATCCTTGTGATTTGGCTTATGAATTTGGAGATGGGCTCTTTGATTTTCATGAATACCCTGAAGGCTTTCCAGCTTCAGGTATGATATTGAATTCATTTTTTTTGTGTCTTTCTTCACATTGATTAAATCTCATCAATTCTATTGGTTCTTCTTGGGTACAATTTCAACTCACTCATAAATTTCAGATGGTGAAGGATATTCTTTATTTGAGGTTTTAAATACCCTTGTTTTACATTTCAAACTCTATTGAAATGATAGCTCTCACGCAGCATGCTTCTCCTTGCTTTTCCAAGTTTTTAGTACTTTGTATATATCATAGTTTCTTTTTGCTTTGCTTGTGTTTCCTTAGCTACCTCCCTTTTTTTTCAAAGCTACGAAACTACAAAAATAGAAGTATGTAATTTGCCTCGCCTTTTTCCGCCCGCTTTTCAGTCTCTTCTTTGTACCAGTTAGAATGAATCTCCAACCTTATATCTTTCTTTATCAGCAACGGATGGAAGTTCCACTCGATTAATTACTTATTTGCATAGTTTCCAAATTTATAATTTTCATATTATTCTTTTCATTTTGCAGTCAAGCATCGATATCCGTTCAACGATCAGCTTGTAGTATATGTTCGATTTGTGGGACCTGGAGTATTAGTTGGCCAGGCATGGCAAGAAGGAAAATCTTTAGAGCAGGTGCCACGTAAATTATGTTCCGAAATCTTGATGATCAAAGACTACAGTCCACGTCCTCTCCCAGAGAAGCAATAGCCATAGCCATAGCCATAGGGCTTCATTCAACTCTCTCTTTTGAGAAAATGAAGTACCATTACGTTTGTAATGCTGCATTGGACACAAAAATCCTCTGCCTTCTGTGAAGCATTATGTTTATATGAGGAGAGTGTTCAAGAACAAGGGACGTAAAAGCAGCCTGATCTACCTAAAGTATAGGGCTACATTCAATGAATTCCTTCGTTGAAATACAAGAAGAGTTCAGGTAAAGCAAGGGTGCCATGTTTAGGAGAAAGAGTTCCTAAGAACAAGTAGAAACAGGACTTGGAGACATGACTGAGTGGAAATGTAATTGACTTATCCCCAATTGTTAGAAGCTAGAACACTTTGCTGTCCTTCAATTCCACCATGGATTTCCCCTTTTCATTCAGTTTGGGAGATTTCTTGCCTGTTTTGGATTATTCTTGGCTTGCTGGCTGAAAATCTTTTTGCCATTTGTGTAGCCGAACTGAAAATTTGTGTTCTAGTCGATTAGTCGACAAATGCAAATGTGAAGTAGAAAAATTTGAACTTCTAGAGAAGAATTGTATGTCGATTACTCTCGTACAATAATGAACACAAAAACGCATAAAAATTACATTACATCAACCCTATACAAGGCAACCTCACTTTTGGAACGACATGTCGTTTCGTAAGCCCAATTTAAGGCAGTCCACGCGTCGTGGGTAGAGTCTCCTCTCCCACTTCACCGCAGCCAATCTCGAAGTAGTTCCGACACGCTTCCCACACTTCCGACGACTACGGCTATCATCGCTCTGTTTTTCCCCTACTCTGCTCTCTGTTGAGGTACTCTTTTAGGGTTTAATAAGCTGTTTGGTTTCTGATTTTTTTTTTTTTTTTTTTTTTTTTTTTTTTTTTTTTTTTTTTTTTTTTTTTTTTTTTTTTTTTGTTTACTGTGACGTACGATACAGATTACTGATTATAGATTATAGTAAGATATTACTTGCTTCGAATTTGTTCTCACCGTTTGAATTTCTTTTCGCTTTTGGACGATTTGAGTGTTCTGTTTCTTGTCTCGACCAGGAATTTGCTAGTTGAAGCAATGACTTCTGAGGAGTGATTTTGTTTTCACTTTCCTTCAAGTTAATTAGGTCATATGCGTATTATCTGTGTGCGTGTTCTTGTCCTTGTTCTTATTCGGTGCTTCCGTACTTCTTGGAATTGGAGTCGGTTTTCGTTTTGAAGTCGATGTTTTTTGCGGCGTATCTCTATTACTCATGCACTATTGATGGTTGAATTTCTTGAGCTCCTGCTTGAATGAAATTCTCGCTAGAATTCAATCTAAACCTAATTTTCTTTCAGATTCTGGAGAATTTTTTGTGCTGCTTGTCTCCCTGTCAAGTTTCAGGGCTCGCGTGAATGGAAGCTGAAATCTCAGATGATCAGATTATTGGTAAAGCTTTCGAAGACCAAGACTACTTGGAGAAGATAACCAAGTTACAGGGTTACCTTGATGAGGTGAAAATTCTGCCTATCTCAAAATGAAACCATACCTGTACCTGAATTTGCCTGATGGTGTTTATGGTTATGGAACAACTATTCTTCAATCTATAAATCGTATATTGCTTGCTTGTTTTTTAATGGCTTATCAGTTGGGCAATTCCTTAGCAATGTTATTGAGTATTTCTATAGGAAAGATTACATGTTCTTTTTCCCAGTGCATTCGTGATCTAGGACTCCCCAAAGCCATGAATAGGAATAAGAATGCTGGAAAAGTTTGTAGAACTGTGTAAGGAATGTGCCATTAAGCTTGAATAACGACTCGATTGCGATATTGATACTTGTGATGGTATATAAAGTTAAGGAGCTTTGACCCGAAGGTTTTGGATCTTTCTTCGATTATCAGAGATCGGATCGTGAAACCTCCTTGAGTTCCTCTAAAATCCTATGCCGAGGAGGAAATCTATAGATAAGATTTCGAAGAAGGGGTCAATTGGGCCGAGGTAAGTAAGACTGGCTACCTAGTGATTTACAACCACCTCCCTCTCCCTCGTCCTCACGCCTATTTGTTCTCCTGGTACCAGTGTTTTATTAGGGAGTCAAAATGAGTCCGGGAGAGGGTCAATGGCTTGATGGCCTTTCAGTTTCTTTCTTGGGTTGGATTGTTAGGTATATCATTTTGTCTTAAAGAAAAGTTGGTGTACTACTGGCTGATGTTGTCGAATGTCGTATGCCCTGGTTTATGATTCTAGCAACTGACTCAACTCGAGTGTGGAAAAACGAAAAAGAAGTCGAACATCGCCTCCCGACCATTCTATTGGAAACTTATGCCGACTTTTGGTTGTTGTCTACTTAGTCACTGATTATCATAAAGATTCCTGTTCGGATGCGAATTATAATTAGACTTGTTTATTATCATTGTTGTTTTGAATGAAAACAACCATACTTGGATAAAGAAAATGAAAAACAACCCACAACCAATGGAGCCAAAACAAAGTTGAGCTTAAATTTTCGTGTTTTGGAAGCTATATCTGATTGTTTTTTGATATGAATCTTGGTTGGTGGGTTGTGTTGAATTCAGGTGAAGAAGATTGTAAGAGAAAGCTGTTCCGAAGAGGTGTTAGAAGTGGCGTTGAGCTCTGTCTCCTCCCTAATTAGCATCCTCTCCCCCATGGCATCGTCGTCTACCAAACTCCATTCTTCACTTTGAGTTTGGAAAATCTTCAAAACCCTCCTTCCTTTCCACTCTATTTCCCTCTAATGCAGGTAGATGGATAGTGTTCGTGGCATGTGAAGTTGAATGTTAGTCTTGTCAATAATACATGTAGATGTAGATGTTGTATTTCTTGTTTCTCTCTTTGCTCGTCTTTATTATGTGAAAAGCAGAGAGAGAGAGAAGCTTACGAGCATCGAGGTGTAGTAGTTCGGGGTAAATTTATGAAAACTAACCACATTTCAATTTTGTTTGGTTCTTTCATTGACGTGGATTATGTTAAAGATTTGATTCAGACATTTTTTAGACTCAATTCGGTTGTTTCTCTATTAAATAATGAGCCCCTATCAGTTCAAAGAAAATGTTAGTATGAAAAATGAAAAATATTTATTTATTTTTAGATGTTTAATTAAGATTACTTTTTATATATTTAAAATTTATTTTTAAGCCACAATAAATAATTAAAAAATTATGAAATTAAATAAAACTATGTTAAAGTAAAAATATATTTTTTAAAATTAACCATAAATTTAGTTAATCTAATTTAGTTTCAGAAGAATTTAAATTAATCTATAATCTTTCATGGTTAATATTGGTTGAATTATTATAACAAATCTAAAAACATCAACAATCGGTTCTATGGTGTAGTGGTTAGCACTCTGGACTTTGAATCCAGCGACCTGGGTTCGACTCCCGGTAGAACCTGGTTGAATTTCATTTAATTTGTTTTTGAATTTGAATTTTAAAGTAATAAATTAATTTTATAAGATAGATAAAAAGCATCTGGACTTTGAATCCAGCGACCTGGGTTCGACTCCCTGTAAGACCTGTTTTTTTGTTACTCGGCATAAAACTGAGCATCCCACGAAATGGGCTTCATCAACTGAACATCTCGTTGGGCCCAGTAAGCCGAAACACTATTCGTCGGCCCACCCTGCCTATTACAAATCGGTTGAACGAAGCTCATCGAGACTACCGAGAAAAAGAGAGGAAGAAAGTTCCAGAGAAATGGCTTCGAATGCAGCAGTGCCCTTTTGGAGAGCAGCGGGGATGACATACATCACCTACTCTAACATTTGCGCCAATCTGGTCAGGAACTGTCTCAAGGATCCTTACAAAACCGAAGTTCTCAGCCGCGAGAAGGTTCATTTTTCCATTTCCAAGTGGGCGGACGGCAAGCCCCAAAAGCCCAGTATGTTCTCTCTCTCTCTCTCTCTGTTTAGATTTTAGATCGAGATCTTGATTTTCGACCTTGTTCATTTTCATTGATCCATTTCGTCGGATGCTATTTTGTTTCTGATTTGTATTTAATCCATGGACCTGTATATTGGATTTTCTTGCGAATTCTTATCGTCTATTGTTGAGGGTTTCAGTTAAATTTTAGTTCTCTTCAAGACGATATGAATATTGTAAAATTCGCTTCCATAGCGTTCGTTTAGGGAATAGGCATACGATTCGCATCCTGGATCTCTAGGGGCTTATTGTTTGCGTTGGTCTATATGCGTATTTGTTTAAGAGAAATAGAGGTATTTAGTTTCGTGTGATGTAGATGCTATTTGTGTTGCATCAGTCGTTGTAATTGTTTGCTTCCGTATCGTTCGAGTGATTTCTGTGTTTGATATTTCTTCCCGTGAATTGTAGTGGAGTATCTATTTTCTCGATAGATTTAATGTTCATAGTCCGAAGTAAGCATTCACTCGTAATTCCTTTATTCTCAGATATATAACCTCCTCTGCCATTTTCCGTTTAGACATTTGGCCTGGAGTTCTGTTGGTTAAATTTTAGGGGCGACAATTTTACTGATAAGAATTTTTGGTGCGATATTGAAAATCAGAAAAAACCAATCAATTAGATTAAAGCAAACAAAATGAATGTTGGTTGCTCGAAGAAGTTGTCAGCTATCAGTTTTTATAAATCAAGGATCGACCATTGCATGTCAGTGCCTCTGACCAACTTAGACACATACAAAATCCCATCCCCCACCCTGAAATTCTTTAAGGTCGTCATTTTGGCCTACTTTGATCAGGTTTTGGTGTCTGCATCATTTTTACTTCTATTCCACTTGATGCCAACCAGCTTTCTTTTTATTGTTCAAAGGGTTGATTTCTTGATTAATTGTGAGATAATTCGAATCTTTCTTATTTATTTTTTCAATTAGTTGAAAATTATTCTATTAGATCTAATAAGTCCAATTGAGAAATTCTATACTCTGAATCTTTAGTATTCTTTTATTTATTGTCTGTATCTACTATTTAGGCAGAGTACTGTAACCCATCCTTACTAAGAAACAGAAAGAAACGATGTCATTATGGGAGAAGTTGATCGTTAAAATGATAATTGATTCGGTGTAGCATAGGGAGGGGTTATCACATATCGTTTTGTTTTTTAGGAATGATGGTGGAATAGAAAGTTTTGCCTAGCAATTAAGTCAACTCTGAATATCCAGAGTGTAAATAATATATTTGGATCTTGGATACGGAATTCATAATAGTCTTCTCCAGTTTCTATGTGATATAGTGTAAACCCCGAGAGTCCATACTGCGGCTGCTGGCACGGAGTTAGCCAGGGCTTCTTCCTTGAGTCCTGTCATGATCACAATATTCATGTTTATCGGTGTACTGGAAAGTGCTGCATACTCCATGTCAGTTGATTACAAATATGGTTGTCTTTTTATATTCTTAAAAACAAAATTTTGTTAGAGACATAGAAAAATGTTGCAGAAGGAGATGAAAATAACCACTGTGATTGCGAAGTACATGGTACTTATCTTATCTTCTTCAAACGGGATGTATGGCACCCCCAAAAAATTCTTCTTAAATGTTTTCCGAAAAGTTTCTATGCACAATGGACTCCATGGTGACGTTTGCAATTTTGAAGTATACACCACATTGCTCAATTTGGATTCACTTTTTTTTTTTTTTTTTTTATAGGGAGCATATACCTGTGGATGTTTGATTGATTCGCAATCTTTTGCTATATTATTTATGATCTTATTGTGAGGCCATTTCTCTTAATAATGGCCTGAATTAAAGCCATTGTAACTGTATTCCTTAAGAAATGGTTATGAGTTGTAAACTTTCTTTGAATCTCTAATCTATATTGAGCTATAAAAGAATAGCATGTCTTAAATGTTGCTAAAGCAAGGAAGGGATTATAGTTTAATCTCTGAACTTTTATAATTGTGTCAAATAGGCCTCCAAGTGTTTGTCCCTAAAATTTTAGTTTTGTGTATGAGGTCCTCGTCAAAAGTGGGAATAAGTTTCTAAACCTCGAGTATTGTGTCTAAATGTCACTGAACTTGTGTCTAAGCTCTCCTAATGCTAAAAGTATCTAATAGGCCGTTGAACGGGTTAATTTTATCGACGTTTGTTAGTTCAAATTTTAGGGTCGTATTAATACAAATTTGAAAGGTTATGTGTTCCATTATACACAATTGGAACTAAACTTGTTATTCACTTATGTTTTTATTGAGTTTTCATTATTAATGTATGTTCTTTATATATCCTCTGTATTTTTACTAATGGATTGATCTTTGTTACATCAGTTGTTCGATCGGATAATCCTGAAGCGTGAAGGTAGGGAGTGGATCTCTTGAAGGTGCTTTTTTTTTTTTTTTTGTGTTGGAAATATTATGAACATTGGTGGTAGGGTTGTTGGAATGAAACCTTAAATGGAGATGGATTTTGATGAATCTCTGGAATTTCCAAAGGGTTTGCAAAATGTAATAAATAAATGAGATGAACTATGAAGGAAAAGGTGGATACTTTTTATTTTATTATTTTAAATGTATTTTAGTAGTGATATTATACAGTGGGGTTTAGGGGTCTTCTCCTCAACCACTTCCGCCGTAGGTTCAACCAAACCCACCTTCTTCAATCATTTGATAATTAATTTCTAGCCTTTTAATATCACAAATTTCATAGTTTAATCACAATAATCATTTCAGAGTTTTGTTTAATTATATTCCAAACCTCAATTTCTTTTTTAAACTATCTATCTTTCTTTTGTATATGTTGGATGATGAAAGTCTCACTTCGACTAATTTAAGAAATGATCATGAATTTGTAATTAACGAATATTATATTAAGAGCTTATGCTTAAAGTGGATCATATCATACCATTGTGGAGCCATGAGATCTTATGCTCTCAAAATGAATAATATCATATCATTGTGGAGAGTTATGTTTGTCTAACCGTATATACACCTTTAATACTTTTTGTTTAATAAACTATTTTAGATATTTAAAATACATTTTTTTTATAAAAAGAAAAAAAGAATTTGTACCTGACTGAACCAAACCGGTTCGCAAAGAGACAACCAGCCAGTTATTCATCAGTTCGGTTCGTCTCTTACCGGTTTAGTAAAAAAAAAAGAAACAAAAAACAAAAATACCAGAGAACCGAACCCTTCAGAATTTGGTCGGAGAGAGAAACAGTGTGGCTGGGTGGGTGGTTGCCTCCTCCTCCTTTCCCTTCCTTCTTCAATCACCTTCTTCTCTCTCTGGACTTTCGTTTTCTTTCCAATTTCCCTGTTTCTCCGCCCGAGCTTCCTTCCTTCGATTTCTCCCTTCAAGACTCCCTTCCTCCTCCTTTTGATCTGGTTTTGGTGGTCGACTTCGCTCCGATCCATTTCTTGGATCAGATTTCCATGGCCTCCGCCAAGACCACCCGGTCCAGAGCCACGCCTGTGAAGGAGAACGGCGCTAAGTTTGAGGATGGCATCAGTTTCTTCAAGTCCGACCAATTCGACGCCGATTCCTACGTTCAAACCAGATGCTCTCTTAACGACAAGGTTCCTTCCGCCATTTCATTTTACCCTTTTTTCTTCTCTCTTCTTCATTTATCTAATCCCGTTTCAGTTGGTTGGAGATTGCTTGTCATCGCGATTATCACTTCTTCTCTTTTACCATTTTAAGGATATCACTTAAATTTGTGTGTATCACTCAACTTGATCCCATAAATGATTTTGTTGAATCAAAATACTATTCCATCAATTCAAAACATTTCGATTCACTTTTAATTCTCTGAATCATCTGTTTCTGAAGCAAAATGACATGAATTACTTAGAAAGGAGATGAAAGCATATAGCTTAATCAAAGCTTCTTATCATGCCAAATAGACAGACCTTTCTCTGTTTAATCAAATCTCTGATTTTAACTGTCTTCTACTTCTGTAGGAAATCAAGCAATTATGCACTTATCTTTGGGAGTTGAAGAAAGCTTCTGCTGAGGAAATGCGTAAAAGTGTCTATGCAAATTATGCTGCCTTTATCCGGTAAGTTGTAGCTCGGAGTTCTTACATTAGATAAACATAGAGCTCTTTTGAAGGATGGAACTAGCGGATCCATGTGACGAACGAATAATTTTTGTTTCGTTATTAGGGATAAATTTAATCTGTTTGTTTGTTAGTTTGAAGAAATGTAGACATGGAAAATATCAAACAGTATATTTTGTTGATGAATAAACTGAGATAAGCGCGCAAATAGTCGTAGTACCAACTTAAACGTTCGATGTTAATTGTATTCGTAGTGATTCTTTATATTGATATCATGTGCTATGTTCTGTCAGCACATCAAAGGAGATATCAGATTTAGAGGTGGAGCTCTCATCCATTAGAACCCTTATGTCTACTCAGACTGCTTTAATTCATGGTTTAGCTGAAGGGGTTCATGTTGATTCGGTACCTTCCTCTGTTTCTGGAGGCACAGCTCCAAATGGCATTTTAGGTTCAGGGGATGACAATCCTTCAGATATTGAGAAATGGTTAGTGGAGTACCCTGATACTTTGGATGTGCTCTTGGCTGAACGAAGAGTCGATGAAGCTTTGGCAGCCCTTGACGAGGGAGAGAGGATAGCTTCTTCGGCGAAAGAAAATAAAACCTTGAGCCGAGCTGTAATTATGTCTCTGCAATCATCGATTGCTGAACGGAGGCAAAGGTTAGCAGATCAGCTTACTGAGGCTGCTTGTCAGCCTTCTACCTGTGGTGTTGAACTCCGTGCGGCTGTATCAGCGCTCAACAAATTAGGAGATGGACCGCGAGCTCACGCTTTGTTACTAAAAGCTCATTATCAAAGGTATCAGTACAATATGCAAAGCTTTAGGCCATCCAGCACTTCATATGGTGGAGCCTATACCGCTGCGCTTTCCCAGTTGGTTTTCTCAGCCATTGCTCAAGCTTCGAGTGATTCCTTGTCTATTTTCGGTAAAGAACCTGCTTATTCGTCTGAGCTGGTGATGTGGGCGACGAAACAAACGGAGGCTTTTGCCCTTCTTGTGAAACGACATGCTTTAGCTTCATCTGCTGCTGCTGGAGGTCTCAGAGCTGCGGCAGAGTGTGTTCAAATTGCTTTAGGTCATTGTTCGTTATTGGAAGGTCGTGGTTTGGCGCTTTGCCCTGTGCTTTTAAGACTTTTCAGGCCTAGTGTTGAACAAGCACTAGAAGCCAATTTAAAACGAATTGAAGAAAGCACGGCTGCCTTGGCTGCTGCTGATGATTGGGTACTAACATATGCTCCAACGACACGCCAATCTGGCCGAACTTCGAGCACTGCTCTTGGTAATTCAGCATTCCAACATAAATTGACGAGTAGCGCTCACCGGTTCAATTTTATGGTCCAGGTAAACATTTCCACCCAATTATTCTTTTTTGATATGAATTTGGTGAGTTGGTGGGTGGGGTAGCTGTGTTTATATTAGTTTTGGTGATTGTTATGAAATTATGTATTATTAGTTTATTATTTAAGCTTTTGTTCCTTATACAAAATTTGGATCAACCAAGATAAGGGTAGAAATTTGGATCAACCAAGATAAGGGTAGAAATTTGGATCAACCAAGATAAGGGTAGAATTAGATTATCTCTTAGATAAAAAACTAGAAGCAAGATTTGGAACAAAAATTAACCCCTCCACCTTATTCAAAATTTGGATCAACCAAAAGATAAGTCTAGAATTAAATTATCTCTTAGAAGCAAGATTTGTAACAAAAATTAACTCCTCCTCCTTATACAAAATTTGGATCAACCAAAAAATAAGTCTAGAATTAGATTATCTCTTACATAAAAAAAAACTTAGAAGCAAGATTTGGAACAAAAATTAACCCCTCCTCGTACAAAATTTGGATCAACCAAAAGATAAGGCTAGAATTAGATTATCTCTTATATAAAAAAACCTTTAGAAGCAAAATTTGGAACTTTGTTCTAAATTGAGTCACTCCAGATCAGGGCTGATTGAATGGCTTGGATACAATCTATCACAAGAATTGCTTTAAACTTAGAAATGAAAAAGAAGATGATCCTCACATTCTCAAACTTCAGAACTCAATTTTATTCATCAAATAATTTGTGGGTATTTATAGTTTTCTAATAATTTTTCAATCAAATGCTATTTATAGTAACTCCATCCCCTACTTCAACCGTGAAAATATTCCTGAGGCTCTAAATGGTCCTTCCTCAATGGAATCAACTTACACATGAATTGAAGATTAAACCGAGCCTATCATATTCTTTAGATGAAGAATGAATGCTTGTTGAATCTTTTTGGCCTTGGATCGTGTAATAGGTTCTGATGGAACATTTGAAATACGGTGGTCCATACCCGGAGGTCCCTTTGAAATTACGTGGATGGGAAGTGAGTGAATCTAGAGAATGCATGAGAGGGGTTCATTTTTTTATGTGGCTAGTCTGAGGTAGGGAGAGATAGAACTCTGTAATGTTTCTTTTCGTTTAAGTCTGTGCTCTTTCGAACTAAGTGAACTATATCAAAACTTTTGTATGTTGCATGCGCGCCCGTTTATTCGGGGGGTTTGTTGAAGGAAGTTGGATTACATATCTTTGATGTTGCACTTCGGGACGAAATATGATCTTCGTTATTTCATTTCTCTTATTGTTATGATATGCCCTCAATCTTTTTCTTCCAAACATTCCCCTGCAGGATTTTTTCGAGGACGTGGGACCTTTACTTAGTATGCAGTTGGGGAGTCAAACTCTGGAGGGATTATTCCAAGTATTTGACTCATATATCAATATGTTAATCAAAGCCTTGCCTGGTATGGAAGACGAAGCAAATTTTGATGGTTTTGGAAGTAAGATGGTGCGGTTGGCTGAAACCGAAGCTCAGCAAATTGCGCTCTTGGCAAATGCGTCATTGTTAGCAGATGAACTACTGCCTCGTGCGGCCATGAAACTGGCTCCGGCAACTCAGACTGCTTATAAGGACGATCCTCGTCGAAGACTTTCAGACAAGCAAAATCATCATCCAGAACAAAGGGAGTGGAGGAGGCGGCTGGTTAGCTCTGTGGATAGATTGAAAGATACTTTTTGTCGACAGCATGCTCTTGATCTAATTTTTACCGAGGACGGGGACAGCCATCTGACCGCTGAGATGTACCTAAACATGGGTGGAAATATGGATGAAGTTGAATGGTTCCCATCTCTGATATTCCAGGTATTTTGAGTGGTTCTTGTGTCACTTATGCAAATATGTGCATGCAAAAGCCAAATTAGAAGGAACATTGCTTGATTGTTCCATAGGAAGCCTAACCCTGTTGTTTGATCACAATTCAGGGACTGTTTGTAAAGCTTAGCAGAATGGCAAGTATGGCAGCTGATACGTTCGTTGGCAGGGAAAGATTTGGTACATTACTATTGATGAGGCTCACAGAAACCGTCGTGTTGTGGCTTTCAGGGGACCAAAGTTTTTGGGATGATATTGAGGAAGGGCCAAGACCACTAGGACCTCTTGGTCTTCAACAGGTGGGCATCATTGTTGCTACATAATCATATTACATTTTGATTTGATGAAACCTCTTCGCCTATGGGTGAGAGCATCAGTACTTAATTGTTTGTAATTTGTGCAGTTCTACTTGGATATGAAATTTGTGATTTGCTTTGCTGCCCAAGGCCGATACTTATCTCGGAACCTGCATCGAGTTGTGAATGAGATCATATCAAGAGCAATGGCTGCATTTGCTGCAACAGGAATGGATCCAGATAGGTACACACTGTGCTGAATGCTTAATAATCAATAAGCGTTTTCTTGCATGCTAAAGTATAAGTTTATTGTGTTTATAACGCCCTAAGATTTGAAAATAACGACTGTGTTTTCGCTCAAGAGAAACAAAAGAAAGCCTCCTTGGAGGAACTAGAACCAGGCAGTATAAATGGCTTAGAATTTAAGTTTCCATCTTAGATTATAATGAATTTTGTAGACTTTATTTAGTGTTTCTGAGATTCAATCTGTTTCCTGTCAGTGTACTACCGGAAGATGTTTGGTTCGATGATGTTTGTCAATTGGCAGTAGAGAGATTAAGTGGGACGCCAAAGGCTATAAATGGGGACAGAGATGTTAACAGCCCAACAGCCTCAATTTCTTCAATTTGACTCAGTAATTTCTTTCTTGTAAATTAAACAACCAAGTTCGTTGAGTGAATTTTCTGGTCGGTACTGAGTTCCTACCACCCTTACATCTGTCAATTTCATCCATTCTTTAAGTTTGATTCTCTTTCCTGTTTAGGTTTTAGAGGCTTCCCTACGTTCATGTTCGTGTTAGATATATTTGCACAGCCACGGATTGTAAATGATTATCAAACAAACTATTCTGATACTATATTTGTCCATTCTTTAACACAAGTCAATTTTGTTCATTTGTGTCCAACGTTCATCACTAGCTTTCGTTTGAGCTTGACTAAGTTCATTTATTTTTTAATCCTTCCATGAGTAAGGTAACTTCATAAAGGAACGAAATATCTCCAAGCTCATATCAGAGGGTAATAATTATAAGTCTAGGAGATTGTACGACCAAACAGTTCTAAAACACTTGAAGTCAACAAGATAGAAGTTTGAAGAATGACAACTCCATGAAAAAATTAGAATGGCAAACCTAAGCAAGAATAAGTTCATCTTAGATACCTTTCTTCCAAGGCATCAATTTCCTCCAGTTTTGCAGCCAAGCCAGGTATGCATCCAGCAAACTCAACAATGATGAGCAGAGCAGTGGATCGAAATGGTTGTTTGAATCATGGTCCAGTTGGCTCTATAAATCTGCGTCATCTCCATGAGGGGTCTTGCACAGTCAGAAGCCTAGAAAAAAGAACTTCAGATAGCACCTGAAATTGAACCTCAAACGCATAGCGGCCTGGTCAATTCAATTCGGAATCTGTATGTAAATGAAACTATATTCTTTGATGCTTAAGAAACAAAGGCCTTAGTTGCTTGAATGTGAATAATTCATCATGAATTAATTGGTGGATGAAGTAAATGATTAAGCTAATGATGTGGTCGTGATGATCAAGTAAATGATTAAGCTAATAATGGCATGATGCGTTGTCTGGTGGCCTATGTGCCCTACATTCCTATACCAGAGTTGCACCATGATATGGAACCCCTACCGACTTGAAATTGCGAAAGGTGAGATGAAATGACTGAACCTTACATGTGGATGCTCTTAATAAATCAAGAAATCCATTTAGATAAATAGCTACATACTCATACACAACCAAAAAAAAACAGGATAGGACCAATGCACAGCACACACCCCACAAATAATCCAGCTACTTAAATCTTCTAAGTTCTGATAAATGCATGTCACAAATAGGGACTACATTAGTAACATGCTTCCAAATGGAATGCTTGTGACACCAATATGAGCAATCATTCCCATGGAGATGAAAATGCTGATGACTTGATATGAAATGGATCATGGATGCATGCAACTGCTGCAAGATGCATCCTATCATCTAGTGCTTGAATTTGTCGAAGCAAAAAGAACAGAGTACATCCCCTTCACGCTATTGGTATGCCATAGCATGTGGACTTCCATTGGCCCCAGGAGCAGAAACAGGATAGGTAGCATCTTTCCGTTTACCAAACGGGTTCTTCGAAAATGTATTCATAGAGTCAAGAGAAGAAACATTTATCCTCAATCATGAAAGCAACAACAAATGAAATAACAACTAGTTCAAATTGCTGTGCAACTAAGCCTGGTTTATGAAATCACATTATGCACATGTTTGTATTACCTAGATCACAAACGTTGATGGGCATCAACAAGAATTGCATTTCAATCTTTGAAACAAAACCTAATAGTTAACATGATAGTTAATTGCTAATGACGTAAAGCAACACATTCAACAAAAAATGTATGAATCTAATTATTTCTAGGAAAGGTTACTGAAAAGGGAAAAAAATTATTCCTTGTTAACAGACACGTGTACTAATATATCGAGTTCCATAGTGACCTTAAAATGTAAAACAAACATCAAATACAAAATAAGCCTATCCAATAAAATACCTCAAACGTGACAGACATGATACGCACTAATTTTCTTTACCGAGATGCATCCTACAGATTTAAAAAGATTGCCAGATTATTACCTAAAGTGGCACAAGCCAGCCATCAAATAAGATAAATCATTCAGTCCAACACTTGCATTGTCAGGCGAAACAGCAACTTACTATTCAGAAGTACCAGTACGATGATATGATCGTTCTATAACTAGCATCAAACAAAACAATTTAGTAAAGAAAAGGATATTGTATTCTCATGCCCACAGAGCCAGAACTAGGAATAACAGCACCCTGCAAAAGATGATGCACATTGGAGGCAGTGTTCACATCCTATATAGGTGAAGCAGACAACAAATTAGAAGGCAGGAAAGGAAGGTTGATAATCCTTAACCTGAATATGACATTAAATGATCAACAGTCAAGTCAACTAAAACCTACTTACTTCAAATTCAATGAAACAGACTTTATGCCTTTCCTGCCTCAGAGTCTTCATTTGCTTAAATCCCGGTTGTCTGCATGATATGTCAGAACCAGAGGTCCAAAACATTCAGTTGGTTGGGATGATTCATACACGTGATTAGACAAATGAAAAACTGTGCAAAGATGAGACTTATATACACGCTAAAAAGACCTCTGAGCTCCTCTTCATTTACATTTTCCCCCAGATTGCCAATGAACAGTGTATTGCAAGGAGGATTATCTTTTGTGTTCTGTAGGAAACGGGAGAAAAATGAGATATAGTCCACGCAACAAAAGTTATTCTTTGCCCAGTGGAAACAATAAGTCAAGGCACTCCATGATGTCTTCATGGTAACAACTTCAATAGTTATAGTAAATAAAGCCTCCTATTCCAGGGATGGTTGTTGCAAGAAAGTGATGCCAAAGTTCAATGTGCCATCGAGATTGTAAAAGGATTACCTGAACAGGCACATAGCTGCAAGGTGCTGGTACAGGTGCAGGAGCAGGCATAGGTACAGGATGAACAGGGTAACTTCCATATGGATCATATGGAGGAGGAGGTGGAGCCATATACCTAGTTCATCACAAACCACAAGGAACTTGAACATCACAACTCAGTGCCATTTGGCGAGGGTGGGAGCAAACAAAACAACCACAAAAGGCTAAGAAAAAGAGAAAATTGAGCTATTAACGAATCCTACTCCTTTTCCATAACCATAAAACATCTCTCAGGTGATAACACATACAACTGACTTCGAAGGGAAAGCAGTTTTCATAAAGAGAAGACTCACCCGTGAGGTCCCCAAATAGGACGTGGAGGTGCATGAAATGGTGATGGGCTCGAATACCCGGTGTGGGCATATTCACCACCAGTTCTCAAACGTTTACTTTGGTCATAAGCATCTGCATCAGCAACAATGCCTGCAAGTAGTACCAAGATTAGCAAATCAAGCAATATTTTGCTTCTTTCTTTTTTAAAAAAGAAAAAAGAGCAACGACGTGTTTAAAGCTTGAAATCATTGCACAACAAAAGAAAAAAACTGAAGGTAATCTGTAACTGTTCTAAGTACGAATGTGTGCGTTATTGGAGGACATCACTACTACACAAGAAAGCCCTAGTGAATAAGCAGAAGAGAATAAAAGCTAGTAGATCACCTCGTTTAACAAAAAGATTTTTCTTGGCCATCTCCGTGTGCAACACTGACTTAGACTCCGCATCAAAAACCATATCCTAAATCACAAAGATCAAAGCAACCAACACTTGAACATTAACAATTCAAGATCAGTAAACAAAACAGTGAGGCAAAGACATGAACCTGAAGGGCGTCTTTCGCAGCAATAGCAAGCTGAGCGTTGGAGAAGAGAGCAAAGCCCATAGGCTTTTCACCTTTAAAATTTACTTGCGAAGCCTCGTAACCAGGTAACCATCTGAGAAGATTCTGTAGCTCTCTCTCTTTCACATCTTCCGGAAGACCTGTTAGAAATATAGTTCGAACCTAAAACAACACAACATTAAAAAAGAAATGGCCTCAGAGAGCATCGAATAGCAGAAAGAAACCATCAAAGTTTTCCATGACGATTAGTAGAGCAGAATAACCTAAAATAACTACACATAACCAGCTATAACAAGCCGAATTCAAGAAAACACAAAAACAAATCAATTTAAACTCCGAACTCGGTAAATCCTCTAGTCGAAGCTTGAACTGCCTAAGATCCTGAGTTGAGTACTACAAATTAAGAAAGAGGAAGAGAGGAAATAAAAGTACCTCATCGGAGGCATGACGGGCAGGGTTGTCGACGAGGATGTGAGAAGGATGGGGATAGGGAATAGGAGGAGGAGCGATGGCAGTGGCTTGTGGCGGAGGCGGAGGGGCAGCCGCCGCAGACCATTGGTGGTGGTACGGGTGGATTCCAGTACCGGCCATGCGCAATCAACCAGAGTAAAGGATAGTGAGCAAGCAGCTATCAAAATTCTCCTCCAACTTATTGGTCTTCACAAATTTGCTGAATTTGTTGGCCTTCTCTGCTCTGACACGGATTTGGAAGCTTCCCGCAAAAAAAAACCTAATGACAACCTGCGCGCCAACGCCTAGCGTCATAACTTGTCCTTAGCTATTAGTCTTTTTAATAACTGGGATCTAATCAATTTTATTAAAAATATGACTTTTAAATATAATCTATCTTAAATATAAATAAAAAATTTTAAAAAAAATTATTTAAGATGTGAATCACTCCATCATCCAGATTGATCGGTACACGAATATATAAAATATATTAATAATGATGAGAATTATTGAGAGTGAGTCTCATATTAGTTAATTTAGCGGACTTAACCATGTCAATAGAATCCTCAAAAGTGGTTGAAGTGTCAAAACAAAGTCTCTTTGTTCGAGGGGAGGTTTGAGAGCTCCATAAGCCTAACGAGAGACTTATAGTACTTTGTTCGAGGGAAGGATTGTTGAGGATTTTGGGGAAGCCCAAGCCCAAAACAGGTTAATTTAGTCCATGGATGTGAGGCGTTTCGGGGAAGTCCAAGCCTAAAGCAAAGGTATGAACAATATATTATTATTGATTGATTTTTTTATAATATAGTATAAATGGAGAGTTTATGTTAATATGATTATAGGTGATTTTAATTTTGCATTTTAGACATTATCTTTCACCGAAATTAAAATGAAATGTAGAGTGGTAATTTAGTTTTTAAAAAAGAAAAAAAAAATTGATAATATGGAGGTGAAAAAAATCAGAGTAAAAAGTATTCATTACGCGGTAAATGTAAAATTCCGATAAGAAGAGAAAAGCAGAAAAACTAGGTGGTAGTAGCAGAGGAGCGTCGTTGGTTGATAATTTGGAGGCCGACATATCGTCCAAGCATCATGAGCGTGGCCTGAGGATTAGTACCAGGCGAAACCCCAAAAGTCGACCCGTCGACCACTCTCAGCGCTTTCATTCCAATCACCTTATAATTACGCTCCACCACTTTCCCTGTCACGCACCCGCCATGGTAATGCCATATCGTACTCACACTTTCTCTACAAAACTCCCTCAACCGCCCCTCATCCGCTGGATAAACCGGCCCTACGAACCGGAACTCCCTCCGCCCCGACCGATCTCTAAACTTAAAACTCTCCATCGACCGGCTCCTCAGAACCTCCCCTATCTTCCTCATCCCGTTCACGCACCTCTCCAAGTCCACCGTGTTGCTGAAGTAGTTAAACCGAACCACCGGGTTCGTTCTCACATCGGTCGACGCCAGTCGCATCGAACCGAATGATACCGGTCCTGCTATCTTCTCCATCAATGTCGCCACCGTCAAATAAACCGGCGCCGATGGGGTTTTTATGAAGAAAGACCTCGGCGGTGAAGTAAACGGAATCACATTAGACGCCGCTTCGAGATACGAGCCGGATTCCGTTATTCCTGCTACTTGTATCAACGATTGCTCTAACGGCATCGGTGCTAATATGGAGATTCCGTTACGGGGGTTGTCGTACAGGTTATGTCCCACAAAGGGTAAATGATGAGCCACCGGAATACCCCATGACGACAAATACGGACGTGAACCAATTCCACTGAGTAACAGTAATTGCGGACTGCCAATAGCGCCTGCAGACAACAAAACTTCCCCACGCGCACAAAGAATCGCGTGGTGATACGCGCCTCTTTGATCACGGTAAAGAACCCCAACTGCCGCACGTCCGAATTGTCCCGTTGAAGTCAAGAGAATTCTCTCCACCGTCGCGTACACCGCCACTTGGATGTTAAACGGCGTCGCATAGGATAGAAGATCAGCCGCGCTATGGCGGCGGCCCATTTCGTCGAATGTGGAGCCTCCGATTTTGGTCCCAACCAAATGGTCCAAAGTGAAGCCGTTGTAAGGGTTGATTCCGGCTTCGACCATTCCGTCTCGAACCACCGATTGCCAATTCTTGAGATTCGGTTTGAATACAATCTTCTTTTCGACCCACTCGTAGGACTGATTGACCATCGTGAGGTCCCAATTGAGGTGGGAGCGGTGAAAGAAGGCTCGATCAGCTCGACTGTAGAAGCCGGCGTTGATGGCGCTGCTGCCGCCGAGGATCCGGCCACGAGCGTTAGGGACTCCTTCTTCGGAGGTGAAGGCTTGCACGGGGGAGTCACGTGAGTAGGCTTCGTCCATTAAAGTCATCAAGAATCCTTCCTGCGACATTAAATTGGAGTTTCCATATGGAACTCCGCCGCGCTCCAGAACAAGAACTCTGTAATGGCTTGATAACGTCGCCGCCAGCGGGCATCCGGTTGTTCCTCCGCCGACGATTATGTAATCGTAGTAATCTTTTACAGGAAATTCCGTCGCGTTCGACACGAACTTCATGTACTTGGGACCTGTAATAGATTTCAACACTCCAGAAATCAAATACCCGAACATATACATTAATGGAGGATGGAAAATCGCTTGAAGATGAATCGAATCACTTACCTTCCCAAGGAGATCTCCGATCGGCGGAAATGGAGGACGAGGCGTAGAAGATCGCGAAGAACACGAGAAATTGGGAGTAGAAGAAAATGCGAAGAATCATTATTGACAGGAGCGTTTTCTTGGAGAACAGAGAGGATTTCTTGAGGAATAGTGAGCAAAATTTGAATATCAGAGGAAGAAAACGAGAGTGGTTTGGTTGTTGGCTGAGGATTCAGTTGGGAATAGTTTCATATTGTGAAGAGAATTTGTGAAATAGTCCTCAACAAATTTCATGAACTCCTTCCACTCGGTATGAACTTGAAGCATGCCTTTTAATTCCCCTCTTTTATTCTATTCTAATTTACACATTTTCTTTGTTGGATATAATTTCTTCAATTTAATCTCCAATATTTCAATTTAATTAATCGGTGAATTGAATTTCTCGGAAGCAAAATTATCTTAAAAACATAATAAAATTTTAGACTTAACCGAGATTCTCAATCATAGGTTGCACTCTACAGATAAAACTCACTTCAATTCAGTAACCTTTTATAAAATTATGTCTAGGCTCGCCTAGACTATAATTTTTCTACATTAGCCCAACAAAGCTCTCTCTCTAGCTTGTTAGTTTCTTAGAACTTGTTAACTAAGGCTAAGATGAAGTTGAGTTCAGTTTAAAAGACTGACGCTCTACCACTAAGCCGGCTTTTACAATAGTATAATATTATCCATTTGAGCATAAAGACCAAGTATCAATGGGGATGTTGATCATACTAAAAATGTTTATGCCCGAAGCAGGATTGAACAACGGACCTTCAGTTTACAAGACTGACGCTCTACCACTAAGCTATAAGAGCTTTTACAATAGCATAATATTATCCACTTTAAACATAAAGACCACGTATCAATGGAGATGTCCAATTTATAAAATTTATGATGTATTTACGAACACACTATAAATGTTTTTGCCCCCACGCAGGATTGAACTACGGACCTTCAGTTTACAAGACTGACGCTCTACCACTGAGCTATAAGGGCTTTTATAATAATATTATATTATCCACTTTGAACATAAAGACCACGTATCAACAAACACACTATAAATGTTTTTGCCCCCACGCCGGATTGAACTACGAACCTTCAGTTTACAAGACTGATACTCTACCATTAAGCTATAAGGGCTTTTACATTAGTATAATATTATCCACTTTGAACATAAAAACCACGTATCATCGAGATGTCCAATTTATAAAATTTATATTACATTTATAAACACACTACAAATGTTTTTTGCCCCCACGCAGGATTGAACTACGGACCTTCAGTTTACAAGACTGACGCTCTACCACTGAGCTATAAGGGCTTTTATAATAATATTATATTATCCACTTTGAACATAAAGACCACGTATCAACAAACACACTATAAATGTTTTTGCCCCCACGCCGGATTGAACTACGAACCTTCAGTTTACAAGACTGATACTCTACCATTAAGCTATAAGGGCTTTTACATTAGTATAATATTATCCACTTTGAACATAAAAACCACGTATCATCGAGATGTCCAATTTATAAAATTTATATTACATTTATAAACACACTACAAATGTTTTTTGCCCCCACGCAGGATTGAACTACGGACCTTCAGTTTACAAGACTGACGCTCTACCACTGAGCTATAAGGGCTTTTACAATAACATAATATTATCCACTTTGACCATACCATGTCCAATTTATAAAATTTATGATACATTTACGAACACAGTATAAATGTTTTTGCCCCCACGCAGGATTGAA